TTTCAAAATATAGATTTCACTCGCAATATTGTCGAAAAATAAATAGGCTTAGTTAAGAACTTTTTCACTAAGAATAATCGTTTTGTTTGGGAATATATTTATATGTAAGCAGCTTTTTCAATAGTTACAAACTGATAAGAAACGAACCCGATTGGCCGATGAGTATCTACTATCGATTCTAGCATGTTTAAGTAATTAACTGTTAAATTATCCGTTTAACAATTTAAATATGATAGAAATATTTGAAAGGCCTGTCAGTCTAGAACGTAATAAGTAGCTGTTAATATGTTTGAATTATAAAGGTGTAACCGACAAATATTTCCTGCAAGTAACAAACCTGAGATTTCTGACAGAAAATGTATAGAAACTTAAGTTTTTTCCCCTTTGTATTATTATTATTATTATTATTATTATTATTATTATTATTATTTATGTCATGTTTCCACAAATATTTAGTAAGGAAAATTTAAATTCTATTTCAAATATTTTTTATTTTTTAAAAAGTTTTTGTTTATTTTATTTAAAAAAATTGACCTACCAGTTATTTCCAGATAGTGCATGCGGCCTGCATTCAATTTGAGTTTGACATTACTGCTTTAGGGAAATAAAGTTTGATTTGAAAAACACTGAATTGCTTTTTGAGATTGTATGTAGTTTTATCCGTCTACAAATCAAATCTAGCCTATTCAAGTTCTAAAGGATAGCAAATTTTGAATCCCTTTACTTGAAATTTGAGTTTATATTATTTAGCTGCTGGCGACGGAACCGCTCTTTTAAGGCTTAGGAAGGGGTTAGCTAAGGCATTTGAAGAGCTTACTTGTAAGAAAACAAGATCATTTGCACTCTTTTGATAAATGTACCGTATACTCTGTATTTTTCGTATCTTATCACCCAAATATGAGTTACTGAAATCAGTTTACAAACTAAAAAATTTAGAAAATCAACCCTAGTTTTTTAATAGAGAAATGTCAATTAGAAGGGAGATGCATTTTTATTTTATCCAGTGATGGCTAAATTTAATGGCGAAATTAAATACTTCTTTCATCAGCGTCTTTGTTTAAATTTTAAAGACCCAAAGTAAAAAATTTTCCATGAGAATATTCACGAAAGTATCGTAACCAGAAACTGCATTTTAGTAATGATTTAAGCTTTCGAGGATGAAAGATCAACTAAAGTACTTGAAAGTTGAATCAGTTATGCGTTAGGATAAATTACGACTTAATCTCAGGATTTAATTCAATAGATTATTTACTTTCCTGCATACCACAAGACGACTTTTATTAAGCTGTTAACAGAGAAACCTCTCTTTTAAGGCTTAATAAGCGATCAGCTAAGGCATTTGAAGAGCTTCATAGTAACAAAATAACATTTTTTGTACACCTTTTAATAAACTTAATGTATGCTCTGTATTTTATTGCCCAAGAACGAATTGACAAAGGTAGTTTGTGCACTGGAAATAAAAAAAAATATTTGTCTGTTGTTTTACATAATAATAATAATAATAACCTTACCAAAGAAATAAAAATGTAATCTTACCTGGTTTTTAGAAGAGGAATGTAAACTAGAAGACAAATGAATTTTTTATTTTATCTAGTGAGGGTGTAGATTATATCGAAATTAAATATCTCTTTGATCAGCGCTTTTGTTTGAATTTTAAGCACTCAAAGTAAAGGCCCTTTTTTTGTGTATTCGAGAAATTTTTCTAGCAGCATCGGTAATAAAAGTTCAACTAAAATATTTACAATGTTGATTGACATTCCTCTAAAGAGAAATTATGTCTTAATCTTGAAATTGAATTCAAAATATGATTTATATTCCGACATTCTAGAATACGACTTCAATAGCCTATTATTTAGCTGTTAGCAGCGAAACCTCTCTTTCCAACCTTAACAAAGGATCAGCCAAGTATTTGAAGAACCTTTTCTACGTAAATAATATCTTTTGTACCCTTTTAATGAATTTACAGTATACTATGTATTTCATTTGAATCCTGTCGTCCAAGGGTCAGTTTCCAAATTCACTTCGTAAACTGAAAATATAAAAATAAATTTATCAGGCTTTTAGAAGACAAATCTCAGTTAAAAAGAAGGTGCATTTGTATTTTATCTAGTGTGTCGAATTTTCATTAGTAATGAATAGAATTCTAAAATTAAGTCATAATTTAATGTATGATTATTTTTCTACATTCTGGAAACTTCTTTAAGTTTGTATTGTTTAGATGTTGGCAACGAAACCACTCTTTTCCACTTACCTGGTTTTAGAGAAATACAAAAGTAAACTTACCTGGGTTTTAGTAGAGAAATATCAAATAGAAGGAAGTTAAGGGTCTATTTTATCTAGTCAGGATTAAATTAATAGCGAAATAAAAATGTTTTTGTTAGGTTTTTTTATTTAAATTTTAAGAATGCGAAGTAGAAACTTTTCCTTGAGAAAACTTAGAAATTTTCACATCTAGAAGCTACATTTTAGTAATTATAACAGTCTCAGTATCTCAATAATGAAAGATCAACTAAAATACTTGCAACTTCAGTCGACTTTCCGTTAGTGATGAACTGAATTCTGAGATTAAGACATAATTTTAATGTGAGATTTATTTTGCAAGATTCTAGAAGAGGACTTTAATTTTTTTGTTATTTTGTTGTTGGCAGTGAAACAATCTTTTCAGATTTAATAAAGGGTTAGGCTCTGTTAATAAACTCCCAGTATAATCTGTAATGTATTTGTATCCTTATTGCCCAACGACAGTTTTCAAAGGTATTTTAGACACTGAAAATGACAAAGGTTAACTCACTTTGTTTATAGTTCAGAAATAAAAAAATAATAAACTTGCCTGGTTTTTAGTAGAGAAATACAAAGAAAAAAAACTTACCTGATTTTTAATACAGAAATGCCAGTTATAAGAGAATTGCGTCTCTGTTTTATCTAGTGAGGTTCAATTAATGATGAAATTAAAATGTCGTTGATCAGGGTTTTTATTTAAATTTTAATGCATCCAAAGTAGAAAGTTTTCTTTGGGAACATTCGAGAAATTTTCATAACTAGTAATCACATTTTATTAATTACTTAATAGTTTTGGGGATAAGAGATCAACTAAAATACCTGCAAAGTCAATCTACATTCTGTTAGAGATGAACTGAATTCTAAGATTAAGTCCTAATTTAGCGTAGGATTCATTTGTGTACATTCTAGAATACGACTCTAAATTTATATCAGCTACTTATTTGCAAAACTTCTTAGGAGCAAGTTGTTTGCTATAAATTATATTCCTAATTTTTCTTGCGGTGGTTTGATCTTTTACTTCTTTCTGCTAATTAGTTATGTTTACCAAAATTACGGTTACAGCCAAAAACATCGCGGCAAAAACATCGCGGACGAAAACGTCGCGGAGAAAACAACGCAAGGCGAAAACGTCGTGCTACAAAACATCGTGGCAGAAAACATCGCAAAGAAAAGACATCGCAGTTCTAAAACATCGTGGTACAAATCATCGTCGTCGAAAATAAAGCGGTTCAAAAACTTCGCAGTTTAAAAACATCGTCGTCGAAAATATCGTGGTACAAAATAAAGTATCTACAAATCATCGCATGACGATAACATCGCAGACATGCTTTATTCAGGCTTTAGCATGGCATTTTTACTTTCATATTTTTTATTAACTAATAAATTTTTTTCTGAGAAAGTAAGAAGGAAACTTAAGCATTTAAAAATTGAAAATAAATAGAAAAATTAATGCAACTTATAGCACTTAATGGAAAATTTTAAATCTGACATAGTTAACTAAGAAATACCATTAGCAAATTAAACATTTTTTTATAAAAGTTTTTACTGGTAATTTTTCATGAAATTACTGTCTAAAAATGTTTAGAAAAAGAAAGATAAATAACTGCATGAGGTTAATTAACTATGTAAATTTAAAAGTCTGTTAAGTGTTATAAGTTTCATTAATTTTCTATGCTTTTCAAGTTTTAAATGCTTAACTTACTTTTTCAGCAAAAAAATTTATTAGTTCAATTCAAAAAATGATGATAGAAGTAAAAATTATCCTTCTTTACATCTTGCGCTCCCAAATCATTATGGGAATACCCATTTATAATTATTTAAAATTTGAGAAACTCATGCATGTCTGCGATGTTATCGTCATGCGATGATTTGTAGATACTTTATTTTTTACCACGATATTTTCGACGACGATGTTTTTAAACTGCGAAGTTTTTGAACCGCTTTATTTTCGACGACGATGTTTTGTGCCACGATGTTTTAGAACTGCGATGTTTTCTCTTTGCGATGTTTTCTCCCACGATGTTTTGTAGCACGACGTTTTCGCCTAGCGTTGTTTTCTCCGCGACTTTTTCGTCCGCGATGTTTTTGCCGCGATGTTATAGGCGGACACCAAAATTACGTACTTAAATACAATGTATATAATTATAAAATACATATAACAGTTATTGTACTGCGTTTTTATAAAAATATTTTACCGTTTTAAAAATACAAAATAATATATTCGTTTTTTTTTATTTTGTCATATAGAGGAAAAATAATTATTTATTTTTGGCAGAGAAATACATCAGTAACAAATATAAATTCAGACAAATGTAAACTCGGGACAGACACGCGCTGCCCCCTATCCTTCAAGGCGGAAAAAATATTCTGCCAGTTAAACTAATTAAAATCAAATTGTTGAATTACAGTTGAATTAATTTACCAAGCTAATTACAGAATTATATTGAAGTTAATTAGCAAGATATTTTTCCTTCTTGAGGAAGAAAGATGCTGCGTCTCTTTTGCTTGAAATCGTTATAATTTTTCAATAACCCCAACGCCAAGCTAAGATAGATATTTGATTAATTTTTCATAAAATTATTTGTTTAACAGCAAATTATTATTGGAAATACTATGTGCTTTGATATTTAACCAACAGCAATATGTCAGTAACAATAATTAAATGTTTAATTACAAAAAAAGAGACTATTTACAATAAAATTAGATATGGACATAGTGACCTGTGGCTGGGAGTGCAATGCAGGCGTGCGACGACACCTCGCTTGTGTAGTGTGATTCCATTATTTAGTGCATTCAACAGGAGCTGAACACAGGTGCCAGAAAAAATATTGGACAGTCCATCAACACGAGGCTCATCTTTTGAGGAACAGGAATCCGAAGAGGAAGCAAGAGGTTGTGCCATCGGGCTATCTTCAAGGGGGAGAGTGCGTATAATACAGGTGTCGATTACCTTGTTTATGAGTAGCAATCCAGAGTACTGTAAGAACTGTCCACCCTTCAAGCAGCCGACAGCCACTCGTAGTAATAAACAAAGTGCTTTCAGATCACCAGTTGACAGCAGATTTTGCATTGTGGTCTGAAAAGAGATTTAATTTACGCAAACTCTTGATCAACATTTTTCTCTTTCCAATTATCCATTTATTTTATATGTCCTTTTAATTATTATTTGTTTAATATTTTATGCAATAGGTTAATGATTTTATAAACAAATAAAACTGTGAATAGAGATTTCATTCTCACTAATTGTTTTCTCTAGCCCTACGTGATTTTTTTAATATTCAGGGATTCTTTCTGTAAGCTGTAAAAACTTAGAATAAAGGAAGTGCTTTGGCTTTAATGGTAAAATTTTTATTTCCTAAAATAATGATATTATATTAAAATAAATAATATTTTCAGATGATATTAATCGAAATATGAAATATTAATCTTAGTTTTTTCCCATTTTCCAAACAATTCTACTGCAAATACAGCAATGAATATAATGTTAACTTAGCTAGTTTTCTGTACTAAGTACATAAAAGAGTCTGATATTAATTCCAAAGCATAAAATCATTAACATAATCGCATTATGACGGATTTCAAACACTTCGTTAATAGCATAGACTCTAAAAAATGAAAAACAAATACGTTGAAGAATTTAACTGTTCATAACTTGCTTTGGATGCTGAATTCAGGAATTGTACAAAAATTATGTGTATTTCGGTCATTTATTCTCTCACTTGTAATATATGAGGTATGCTAATAGTACTTATTTACTGCAACTGTAAGACTTAAATTAATTAGAACACAATATCAGTGACCAAAACTGAAACATAAGGGTGGTTAAAAATTATTGTTTAAAAGGCAAATTTTGAATTTTAAAAGACAATTTTTGAGTAACAACACCAATTACTGGCTCTTTTATTTAATATGTTGATTACGTAAGTGTGCTTCTATATCTCTTAGCCATTCTGCATATAAGAAAATTATTAAAATTTGAAATTAGTTCTCGTATATCAGAAATCCTCCATGAAGTATTTGTTCAGTCCCCGAAAATACTGCGGGTATTTCTTTGTGGATGGCTACATTAATTTCTATTATTTCACATGTAAATGTACATTAGAGTGAAAAGACAAATTTGAAATAAAAATATTGGTAAAAAGATTGTCCAGCTTGACAGATAAAACACTTTTTAACGTAAAATAATTCTTTTATCACTACGTCACATAAAATCTAATTTCATGATACAGTTTGTGAAGGTATTTAGTTAAAGCGTCAATTGCTTTAAATACTTGTAGGGTTTATATTTATTTTAACTAACATTTTATTTTAAGTTTAAACTATCTTTCCTGTCAAGCCTTACTTTCCCCTGGAACTGCCAATGCCAGAGTATGTAAATTTTAGTAGAACGCGCAAGGATTCAAATTATCAGCGGAAGTATTCTGATTTAAATAGAAAGGAAACGAGTTCGAGGTGTGATATTCTTACTTCACGAACGCGGAGGTAGTTGGCCAGAAATTGAAGAACCCCGCGTTTCGGCCTGTGTGCTTGCCTGGAAGTAGTGTTAATCGTTCAAGTGATCTTCAAGTTTGCTGAATTAGCAGCGGTATTGTAAAACGCGGTGAGTTAGTTACTTTTAGAGAGCCTCGTAGTTAGAGTCTTGTCTTTAGTTTCTTTTCAGGTTATTACTTTGATTTGACCGCCGAGTTGGCGAAGTTTGTGAGCGTCAAGAGCACGCACTTGTAATTTATTACGTTGAATAAAAAGGGACTTAAACCCTTAACAAGACTCTGTCTTTTATCCAGTTTTCACAGTCACCTCTTGGTTGCGTGCAAGTTGGAGGCGAGCAACGCTACATACTGTTGTGAATAGTTTCCTTTGCTACCAGAAACCAAGGTGGAAGAAGTCACTTCCGATAAGCCTCACACCAGAAAAATATTATTAAATGAAAACTTTAAATTTGCTTTAAATGGAGCTAAAAAAGTGTCACTGATTGCCGTGAGTAATGTAATCATTAAATTTTCGGTAACGGTAATGACAAAGATAGTCTCAAAAACCGCAGGCACTCCATAATGAAAGAGTAACTAATGCAGATAAAATTAATAAATGACAAAGCAGCGCTTGCCTTAGGACTAAAACATTTAATGCAAATTAATATTTGCATTAAGTTTACTTTTACGAAGTATAGGGTGTCTGTAAAGTCGCTACCTATCTTAAAGAAAATTGTAGGCGTCATGAATGTAAAAACAACATGAAGTTTTGTAATGGACGCCTAACTGCATTTATGGACATTCCCGAAACCCCCTTACAACTCAGTATAATGACCAGGAGTGGCAGCATACTTATGCAGACGTAGGGTTATATAATCCATAGTTTTCTTAAGAATGAAAAGGTATTCGCACTCAAAACAGCACAGATTCTTTCCTCAAGTTCACGCAAAGTTGTAGGACGAATCATCTCCATTTCTTTGTTGAGTCTAAAAATGGCTAGTGCTCACCATAAAAAAAATGTTGTCCCAACCCTGCAGGAAAAAGTCACAAGTCTCAAAACTTCTCAGTTCTTCAATGTTCGATCTTCACCACTAAATTCCACACTTAGTACTTCACTGTGATTTTAGCTCTCTCTTCCTTACTTCCTATCTCTCTCTTCCTTGGAAGCATCGTCAGTTACTTGAAACATAAATGATAAAGAATAACCATATGTTATATATTAAAGTCGCCCTAAAAATGGGTTACGTCGTTACATATTTTCTCCTTGAAAATAATATACACTGTAATTTCTGTTGAAATATATGGAATATCATTGTAATGAAGATGCAGATTATGTCTGATTTTAATTACTCGTTTCAACAGGCTAAGTAACTGTACACACTAGCGATAAATGTGCTGATACGAATTGCAATAAAATTGCAAATGGTAAGAAATAAAGGCAATTTTTAGGTTCGCCCTCACTCAAAACTTATCAATATATTTTAATTAATATTGGCTTCTTTTTTAAAATCTCATTTATAATCATGCTTAAGTTTTGCAGGTCTGTCATTCTTAAAACAGAAAAGGAAGTATCTATTTATATTCTAGAAATTTAATTATTAATAAGTATCTATTCTACATAATACATATTCTTAACATTTTTAAACTTTACCTGAAGAAGTTGCTCTAGAAAGGCAGCTACTGGCTTATGCAACCGTTGGCCATTAACATGATCAGTTAGCTCAATCACAGCAGGAAGGTGCAACTGGAAGTTTGTCAATAATGGCAGGATACATTCTTCATTGGTTGCCATTTTAGTTAAAACGTGAAGATTTACTTCAGCCCTAGTAACACGCGTTTCAGATGGCTCACCTGAAATATAAATAGATAATTAGTTATTTTAAGTAACTCATCATAGTTTTTAGACCCTTTTATTATTTTTTAGTCTTATTTCGTTTTTTCCGTTTACTAAACTAATTCAGAAAGACGAATATAGATGACAAATATCCAAGAACGTTTATCTTAACAGAACTAGGCAGAAATTAAATGAAAGTAACGTTAACATCCTTTGATGTTCAGGGGTCAAATACACTCTTAAGATAGAATAACATATGATTCAAATTTTCAGATTAATATCAGACTAAAGCACAGTCCTTGAAAAGGTAGGGAGCCCTCCTATCATCTAAGATAAGCCAGCCTTGATATATAGGGTGTTTATAAAGTCTCTATACATTTTTGAGAAATACGTTCTAATTAACATTTCTTTGGAGGCTACCTGAAAGAATTTTGTCATGAAAGGAAAGAAAAGCCATTGTTTGTGCTCGTATACGTGGATTAACGTATCAACAGGTGCATGAGGACTTTGCCAGCAAATTCTGAAAACATGTCCTTACCAGAGCAGCTATAAAAACCTTGGTAAACAAATTCAAGTGTATGTGTAGTGTTAAACATGAAGACCGTACTGGGAGACCTTCGACAACGCCTTGAACAAAGGCCTACAAGAAGCGCTTACGCGTAGCCCCCGGGCATCTACACGAAGACTCAGCCGGGAACTCGGTATTTCGCATACTATTTTTTGGAAAACTCTACGCTGTCAATTTAATAGTCGCCTCTCCATCTTGTCATCATTGTGCTCAATTATCTTAATGAAACTTTTCCTGATAGGTAGATTGGTCATGGTTCTCAACGGCTTTGGGCTGCACGGTCACCAGACTTAACTCCCCTAGACGTTTCCGTACGGGGTTTTGTCAAGTCCAAAGTGTACCGCCTGATGACTGGTAGCATTGAACATTTAAAATATCGAATTATGGCTGCAGCAGTTGAAATTATACCAGTAACATTATATAAGGTGTTTCGAAGTGTCAACGGTGGAAATTGTGCCTAGACTCTGGGGGAGGGGCACATTGAATTGCACTAATTTAGCGTTTACGTTAAATTTTCATGTAAATAAGTTATATTTGAGAATAGAGCCTGTTTAAGCAAAAATGTATACAGACTATATTTCCTGTTAAAATTAGAAGAGATTGCGCGCAAGAGGAAGTTTTGAATTACTCAGAATTTAAGGTAAAATTACTATTTTTAACAAAATTAGATTAAACGATTTTAGGTGAATATTATTTAAAGGTAAACCTGGATTAGATTAAACGAGCATTTAAGGTATATTATCAATGTTATTAATTATACTATATTTAAATTCATTTGAAGACCAGGCCCACCAGCGGACAAGCGGTAAAGTCGCTAAGCACTAGTAGTTCGGTCAGAGGTTCGAATCCCGAGAACGGGCTGGTTGCATGGGCGGTTTAGTGTTTTCCCCATGTGTAACGTGTATACCAGTCGCTTCCACGGGGGTTGACTCAGGAGAATTCCTGGTAAGTACTGGCTAGGATCTGTACCTAGGCAGTCTCAACCACGGGGGTATATTATTAGTCTTCACAGGACTAGAACCTGAGTATTATACTTAGGTTGGTTCAGGCTTGGTAGGGACCATGTTGGTTTGCCTGCCTGTTTTTCTGGCTGCGGTGGCGATATGTAGTTAGATTCTCGTGACCTTCTCGATGGGGGTTTGGCCCTCAGAGTCCCAGTGACGGGGAGTGACAGAGTAAGGCAAGGCACAAAGTTGAATTCTTCGATGCTAAGGGAGTGGTGCCCCAAAGCAAAGGTGATTAAGAAGTATATTTAGTATTAGAACAACATTTCTGTACTTGCTGAGGCTACGTATAAAGACGGGCAGGGACTATGGAGCTGCGCCCCACTGAGGAGTCTCCAAGGCCCGGAATATCCAACTTCGAAAGATACGCACCAGGACGAGCGTTCTGGCTTTGGCGCTCTGTATATGAGCCAAGTTTCCCTTAGAAAGTCTCCACGAAAGCATCCTTCCTCTAGGTAGACAGCCCTTGAGGCTTTGCCATAATCACATAAACCAAACCAAAACAAATCTTTTAAAGACCTAAAATATATTTCGATAACTATGATTCCACCTAATTTTAACAATTTTAATATAGACACGAATATGAAAGCTCTGAAAAGATAAAATTTAAGTAAGATTGTACGGTTATTATTATTTAAATTAAGCAGGTTTTTTTTTATGATTTGGAACTTTATTTTAATGTCTTCTTTCCGTTTTCTTCAAAAGAATGCAATTGAATAAGTTAGTATTTAAAATGAAGTTTTTGGATTTTAAGAGAAAGCTTGTTTCTGATTGCGCATGCATACTACGTTTAGTTCTCGTCAGTTTTGATAGTTGCAATTATTCGGCTTCGCGTTATATCGCTGTCGACATGTTGATTTTGACGCTCAGGTAGAATTATTGAGCCAACTAAGAGTAAGATTTGAATTGTGTACTCTTACTAGTTTAACTTAAATTTGGCTCTTTCTGTTTAGTTGCCTCGCCATGAGTTGTAGCTGATGCTGCTCGAACAGAAAAGTGCATTTATGTTCCAATTTCTGTTTAATAAAAAAGGTTATTAAAACCTTTATATGACTTAGTTATATGTAGTTACTTCGAATCATGCAATAATTCGCTTTGTCTCATTGTGTCAAGTAAAACCACATAAGTCAAATATATTTGGGGACAATATCGTTACCATAAACTATTGTACTTTTCTGGATTTTGAAACAGTGCGGATGTCGTAATAATTTGTCAAACCTTCTAGGAACAGTGAAAAATTTTTATCTCTATAGTACACCAACCTTTGATTGAAAAATAAAAATAGAAAACTCATCGCGAAAATAGAATTTCATGCACAAATGCACAGAATAGTGAAATGTCTGTACAAAACACACCAATAAATTAAAGGAGAGAAAAATATGAAAAATGTCTAAATAGAATCAACGTTTTCCTTTTGGTGGATGACTTAACTTAATTGTGAGATTTTCTTCCCATATTTTCATTAATATTTCATACACAAAAACAGTTTTACGATTTCCAGAATCGTAAAAAGACTTTAACGATTATGGAAATAGTAAAAACAATCAATAGAAGCCGGAAGCTTATGTTTATCAAATGGGAAACGCAAGTGTCATTTCCAAGGTGGTTTCTTTGCAATGATAATGATACGGGTAGCCATGTGCTATCAAGTTAGATGATGTTATAGTTAAGGCTTTTGTTAACTTTAGTTCTCCTTAATGCTCAGTATTTTGAAATTCATCAGGAACTTCTCTTTCCGATGACTTTTCCACAGTCTGAAATGCCCTTACTTAAATTATTTTAGAGCTCGTATTTTAATTTTATGATAGAATGAGTGAGCATAAGCAGCTAGTTTGTAAGGATTATGTTAATTTTATTAACAGTTAAATTTTGAGTTAAACTTCCTTTCCTATCGCTTCTTAGTTTCAACTTACCACTTCCGGCCAGAACGTAGTTTTAGAATCACGTTTGGATGCAAATCGAGGAAGAGCGGTATCTAACCACGAACTCCTACTGTCTTAGTCAGAGAGAACCAGAGATTCTGGTTAGCACGCGTCCGCATATTTAGGCTACTCTCTCTTAAGCTATTATTACTCTCGGCCGTACTTTAGGCCCTTGATAGCTTCGCAGTCAATTAGCGTTAAGGGTCAACTCTGTTAGAATTATGATAGCTTCGGCTATATCTTTTTTAGTTAAGATTAGGTTAGTTTATATTTTAGTCTCTTAAGTTGAAGCCCGAGTGTCGGCTTTATTGTACATCTCCAAGACGGAGTTTTGTTAAACTTTAGTTGGAATAATAAAGGGTTATTTCGCCCTTTTCACTTGTTGTTTCCTACCTCCCGAAATCAAGCGATTATTCGCTTACTTAAGATTCTTCACATTCAACTGTAACTGAAAGTAAACAGTACAGAATCTTTATAAGTTCAAAGAAGATTATTTTAATAATTAATCAGAAACTGATTACAGTTGCTCAGATAGAGGAAAGAAAATTAGTTGACAATTTTGCTATGAAGTGGTGTATTGATGTTTGCCTTCAAGAAGCAAAAAAGAAAACTCTTTAATTTGGCACGTGACTGTAACACTGCAGCTGTGATAAACGCAAGAAGGATGATTGTTCTGGCTTTTTCACACGCTTTAAGAAAAGCTAAGGCATTTGAGAAATGGAAATTTAAGTGTGAGTTATTCAGCTGCGAAATCTTAAATTAAAGAAATTATTTATTGCATGAAAAAGAATTAAACTATGATCAAATTTTTAATGACGATGAAACTATATTTTGGAAATGCGTCACGTCTAAACCATTGACAATAAAACAGGAAAACGAATATACAATATAAACTTCACTATTATTACAACCCAAAGGGTGCTAAGATTATCGATAAATTGCCAACATATGTCGCATACCGTTCACCAAATGGTTTTAGACGTATGTTGCACGTATAATGACAAACGATACTTATAAACTTGACCACTTATTCTCCGTTCGGCACAAGAAGAGCTGTGAGTAGGCCAAGTGTTCTTGTATTTATTGGATGTTTTGTTTCTTAAAAAATATTAGAAAGTTTTTATTTACCAAGGCGTGAGGAAGATTTGTGTGTGTGTATGGGGGGAAGACTTCGCGTCGAGAAAATGCCTTTGAAGCTATTTTAAAAGAAACGGCAGCCACAAAATTAAATGTGTTTGCTATGCAGGTTCTTAATAATATTTTCTGAATTAAAACACAGCGATAATTTTAGTGATTCAAATAACTGAGCCGTAATATATGGGCTGGATAGATTATTTGAATATGACCAAAGAACACGAGGTCTATCTGCCTAAGGAGAGGGTTGTCTTCATGGAGGACTTTCTAAGGGCCACAGGCTCGATTTCTGTTACAGATCGGGAAAACACGAAACCAACCATACCATTTGAATAAAATCGAACACAGGTCGAACTCGCAGTATTCAGCGGTCTTAACTACAGGGCC